TGAAATCTGCAGTGAAGGCTGAAATAAGAACCTATATAAAAGTGAGAAGCATTCTTGATATACCTGCATAGTAATTTTGAATGAAATTTGTCAGATTTATGGAGATTCTGCAGTTTCGTTAAGCACAGTTTGTCGTTGGTTAAAAAAGTTTAAGAATGGCGTTGACGTCGTTAAAGATTCTTCGAGAGCAGGGCGCCCAAAGACAGCTGTTACTGATGGAACCGTGGCTGCAGTTAAGAAAATGGTAGAGGAAAATGGAAGATATACTTTAAAATATATTGCTAGTGTTGTTGGAAACTCATCAGCAAAGGTACATGAAATTTTGACCAAGCACCTCAACCTACGTAAGGTATGTGCACGATGGATACCGCATCTCTTGACACCAGAACAAAAGACAGCGCGTTTGAACTTTGCTAGAAAAATGTTAAAAATCTATAAAAACTGTGACAGGAGAAAATTTTCTGAATTGCTTACAGGTGATGAAACTTGGATTTACTTTTTTAAGCCGCAAAGAAAAATTAACAATATGATGTGGGTCAGGAAGAATAGCGAGCGTTCTGTGATTGCAAAAAGATGTCAGAGTGCTAAAAAGATTCTGTATGCTATTTTCTTTAATTCTAGTGGCCCAGTTGTGCAAATTCCAACTCCGCAAGGTAGAGATATCTCGGGACAATTTTACAAGAATAATGTACTGAAAAGAATTAAGAAAGTGTATGAAAAGAAAAGACCAAAGACAGGCATGAAGAACATAAAGCTCATTCACGACAATGCTCCTACTCATAAGAGTAAAACGGTTCAAAGTTTTTTGAAGGATGAAAAGGTTATTCAGCTCCCACATCCCCCGTATTCTCCTGACCTAAGTCCTTGTGACTTTTTTCTATTTCCTAGACTGAAAAAAATGTTATCTGGACGTCGCTACACTTCGCGGAGTGCAGTTGGTAGTGCTGTTTATCAGTGCTTAGACAGTATTCCAAGGGAAGACTACCTCGGGGCTTTCAAATCATGGTTATGCAGATTGCAAAAGTGTGTGAATGTAAAAGGGGGTTATTTTGAAGGATTAAACTAGTTAATATTTTGTTATATATTGTTTTCATTATTCTATAAATATACTTGCAGAACTTTCTGATTGTCCCTCGTATGTTATTTTTTTTTTTATATTCGTGACTAGGCTGTTTTCTTCATTTTTGTAGTTTTTTTAATCAAAAAATGTTTGCATTAGATACACAACCCTGACTTTCAGCGTTATTTAATTATTGTAATAAAGAAGCCAAAATATAACATTGGACCCCCCCCCCCCTTCCACAAAACAGGGAAACACGGGATAGTTTGTGAGGAATTTTTGAAGCAGCCCTTCCATCCAATTAGAGAAACGTGGTTTGGTTTCAACATTGGCTAGTTTCCCTTTCCACTTTTTGCTTGCTTGTTTCTTTGTTTCGTTTCGTTTATTTATTTTGTTTATGTTTTTTCTTACAATTTTTCAGAGGGTTTTGACACCATACCCCCGCCTCCGAGAAAAATTTAGGATCCCCCCCCCCTCTCTCTCTCTCTCTGTTTCTTTGAAGAGGAATGCGATTTTTAGTTGTTGAGGTCAATAGAAATTGCAGGGACGGCGTTTTTTCAATTATTTGATATCAAAGATGGTGGGAAGTGCAGCTTCTAGTCCATCCAAGATCTAACTCACAAATATTTTGACCGATGTGTTTCATTCTAATTTTTAGGCTTTTAATTTTGTTAATTTTTATACTGAATTTGACTAGATGTGATGTTCTGCCCACCTGATCAATATAATATTATATAGGGCTCACTTTCTAGACACAAGATTTCCAGGTTTTTGTTTTTAATATGTCCTATTCATAGACTTGTTGTTATTTATGGATGTGGATTTTAGAAAGTATTGTCAAAAATTAATTCATGCTTGAAGATAACTGAAATTGTGTCCTGATCAAAATGTACATTATATATATACACGGGATGATAGGTCTATTTCTATAATTCTTGAAAAGGGAAACAAATTGAAACCGAAATATAAAAATATAGAGATACTGATAAATTCCATAAAACAACTTCCCGGTTCAAAAAATGTTTAAATTCTGAGATGGGGTCAATTTTCAACAGGGTCTATTTTCAACTTGTTGTGGTCATCGGGGATAAGAAAAAAAATATCAAGCTGTTGAAAAATGACCTCGGGTATAAATTCAACGACTTTTGGTCTCAATTTTCAACGGAGAAAAAACACCCCTGGTTCAATATTCAACGTTGAAAAATGACCCCCGGGTCAATTTTCAACTGGAGTCAATATTCAACGTTACAACGGCTCTTTATCATTTGCCAATTTTCATTTCAATTCCTACATTGATTCGATATATCCATGCGAGATACCAGAGTCTCACAATTTTTTTTTTGTGTGTGTGTGTTTGGATGTGTGTGTGTGTACATAGATTTTTCTATCGTCAAATTCTCTTATTTATTCAGCAATATACCCACCTGCATATGGAGTTTATTTGATTCGATACGCTCACTTTCTAAATCGAGACAAGCTATTGACAAACAAGTTGATGAAACAAAAATATCAATGGCTTCGTTTAATTTCGCTAATTCTATAGTTATTTCTATGCCATTATTGTCCCCCGCTTTCGCAAAAGCGAGGGGACATTAAATCTCATTCGTCTGTCTGTCCGTCACAAGAATTTTAACTTTGCCCATAACTTTTGATTTAGTGGAGCTATGACTTTCATATTTCACATGTGTATTTCTAGTGACAAGACCTCTCTCTGGGTACCAGCAAATTTGACCTTTTGACCTTGACCTTGGAGTTTGACCCACTTTTACACCATTTTAAATTTTTTTTTTTACTTTGGCCATAACTTTTGAACTGTAGATACTAGGACTTTTATATTTCACAAATGTATTATTTATGACAAGACCTTTCATTGGATATCAACAATTTGACCTTGACCTTAGAGATTTCCGCACTTATGAAAAAACTTTAACCTTGGCCATAACTTTAAAACGGTAAGGACTAGGGCTTTCGTACTTCACATAAGTAATCCTTGTGAGAAGTCCCTTCATTGGATAACAAGAATTTTGACCCTCTGATCTTGACTTGGAATTTGGCCCACTTTTTAAAAACTTTAACCTTGACCATAACTTTTAAAGGTTTAGGGCTAGGGCTTTCATACGTCACAAATTTATTCCTTGTGACAAGACCTTTCATTTCATATTAAGCACTTAGAGCCCTTGATCTTGGAGTTTGACCTACTTTTAAAAAACTTTAATCTTGGCCATAAGTTTTGAACGGTAAGGGCTAGGGGTTTCATACTTCACATATTTATTCCTTGTGAAAAGATCTTTCATTGGATAACAAGATATTTGACCTTCTGACCTTGACCTTCGAGTAGTACCTACGTTTAAAAAAAACTTGACCATAACTTTTGAAGGGTTAGGGCTTTCATACTTCACATATCTATTCCTTGTGACAAGACTTTTCATTGGATATCAACAACTTTGACCTTGACCTTGGAGTTTGACTTTTTTAAAAGCTTTAACCTTGGCCATAACTTTTGAATGGTAAGGGCTAGGGCTTTCATATTTCACATAAGTTATCCTTGTGAGAAGACCTTTCACTGGATACAAAGAACCTTGACCTTGGAGTTTGACCTACTTTTTAAAATTTGGGAAACAATATATTTAATTTGCATTTAAGAAAAGTTTGATCTTCACTTTGTTGCCATACAACAGTGTTTCACAAACGCATGTTGCCACACATCAGTGTTTCACAAACGCATCTTGTTCCTTTTAACTTTTGATTGAGAAGAGATGGGGCTTTCATATTTGACATGTGCATTACCTATGACAAGATATTTCCGAGCTTGCTATGATTTGTGACTCCTTGACCTTGGCCTTCACTACTGACCTTATTTTCAAAAAATTCAACTTTGGTGATAATTTCTAAAAGACATGATAGGGCGTTCATATTTGACATCTCACCCACAAAGACACCGAAAGCGGGGGACTATAATTCTTTGAATTTGCTTGTTTAATCATTAAATTGTCCACAGAATTTTCCGTTTGTCGGATCATATAAAAGGGCGACAGGGGGATTCTTACTTCTCCAAACACCTGATCCCTATGACGTTTTAGAGGCCTCTGTTTGCTCCGCTCCCGATATGAATTGTATCAATCGACTTTCGGGCTTAGATATAATGACAGTTTGTTATCTTCATAATTCGTGTATAAACTATGTACCGCTATTATTAACTCCGCTTACACCATAAGTGGGGAAAATTAATATCCCTTATGCTTTTGCAATGAAATTTCAAATCACAGCATTTTTTGGCATTGGAACAGATTCTTTAGTTTCCTGTTGAAAAGACCCTCTAAGATGACTCTCACGTATACAGTCACATTAATTCCATCGGAAATAAAACGCATTCAAATTTAAATATTTTTATTGTACGCGCAGACTGTACAATTGTTGACAAGGGTGAATGTATATGTATTATATGTCATTTGAAAGGGTTTAAGAAATGAAATCCAATGCGCTTCGATGAGGATCACACACATACATAAAAACAACTTCCTTTCAATTGCACAAAGATGGGATTACTACAAAACTAGTAAAATGGTTAATTTTACACACGTCTATTATACCCATTCGAATTAACGTTTGCACATTCACATTCTGTATCTCTAATGCTCCACTGAAATTCTTTTGATGTTGAATTGAAGGTAATGTAATGAATGACGAATTAATGCGACAATGTTCCCACTAAGTTTTGTCCACCATGTTGGTAGAATGGACATGAGCCCTTTCTCGTTCCCGCCTGTTTCCACAGCCAGAATTCTCCTGGAAGGCTCGCAGGAGTAGCATACGTGTTTGCAAAACTTCGTTACTTCGTATCCTCTTCTGGATCTTGAACTGGGAATTGCGCAGATATCTGTAGAGTTGGACCTCTTCGTCAGTGTGGAGTCGTGTCTTCTTTATATGTCCTGCAATGAAGGCGACAACGGCGCCAGCATATACCAGAACCGTGGCCACCACGAATAACATGGCACCATGAGCATCATACTCCGGAACTTTCGGGTCGGTGCTGTTGGCTAAAATACACAAAGCAGCCGTCTCATTGCATTGCATATTAACTTAGGTTTCCAAAATTGAAATGAAAAACATCATCCCTCTTCATGTACATTTACTTCAGATGATTACCAAAGATTACTAAAGTTGTTCCATAAAACACCCTTTTATTTGGACTATTAGTCAGAATTTTTTTTCAAGAATAGTTTGCCAAGGACATATTTTCTTTTTTTTCATAGCAAATTGAAAAGCAGTCAAAAAGATTTAAAGGTAAAACCATCAATTAATGGATTTCTATACAGAAAATAATTATCATGTATACTCAAAAGCACAAAAAACATATGATCGAGGTATATTATGCTGCAAAATCTAACAAGAACTTACCATTGGTTAATAGGGTTAGCAAACAAAGAATAATTTCTATGAGGATGCCTCATCGTCTGTTTGGCAAGATGAATCAGCGAATGTCTTTACAGGCAATTCTTCTAGTTCTAACTGTTCCATTTCTCTCTCAGTCTCATTTTCAATATGAAACGTGACTTTAGGTCTATTCTCGTCAGTTTGCTTGTTTTCTTTATCGTCATTGTCCTCTTCTCCTTCTTCCATTCTTAAATCAAGTTCGTCGATAGTTTCATTGGTTTTGATCATTTTAACAAAAGTGTTTCGACGAAAAATTAGCTGTTGTCTGCGAAAAGATTCTCGAAGTGTTTTTCCTGTTTTGATAAAATGTTGAACGTCATCATCCAGCTGACGACGATAGCTGTTGGATTTCTTTCGCAGACGACTGACCATCATGGACACAATTCCAAGGAGAGAATATACCAGAACGGTGCTGATGATAAATTTCATGGCCCCCTCATGATCATAAGCTTCTGTGGTAGTTTCTGGAAAAACTGTCGTCTGATTCGAAGAGATCACATCCATTCCAAGCGCCTAGAGGAAATGCACACTAAGATTTCCACCATTGCACAGAGGAAAAGTTTTGGACCACCTCCCTACGTCTCATAAAAACAACTTTTACTTGATGGGGTTTCTCTTTTGTGTTCTTTCTATTATCATTTTTAGACCTATCAAAATTTTTAAAGAGTGTACAAATTTGCTTGACAGGAGAGTTATACGGACGATTAAGCTGTATTTGAAATGCATATATATGCCTTGGCATTGGGCGGTATGAAAAGCATGGAGGAGCTATTCAACTTAACCCAAACGTCAAGTAAATCTTATTGTTTTGATGACACGAAATTCTCATAGACATTTAAATTTTGAAAAGAGGCATGGACTATTTTCAGTAAGTATTATCATAATCTATTAAGATTTGTTCTGATATTAATTGATCAAATGGATAAGTATCCTATTAGACAAAAGGTTAATAACAATTGTACGATTTCAGCACCGGATAGGCGCCACATCACAGCTGTATATTAAAAAAAAAAAAAACTCGGAATGTTTTTCAGTTTTTTAAATTCACAACAAAGGCTACACATACATAATACGTGTGTTAAAAAATACCTTTAAATATTTCTACACTTTGAAACAGGTGTTGAAACGTTTTTATTCATATTTCGCCTTAACTGTGCAAGATTCTCTTTCCAATTTATCAAATTCAAGAGGACTCTACAATTGGTACTGTAAGTGTGCTGTATGTGCATTCATTAACCCTTCAGTTGAAGTTGCATGGCGTTTTGCAGATAAGTTCATTATTACTTTGTCCGCTCACATACAGACTTTTTTTTTTGGAGGACTTTGAAAAAAAATAAAGGTGAAAAAAATGATGAATTTCATTTTCAACATTGGAGCATCTTTAATTCTTTGATGTTCAAGAACAAAAATGAATTATAGAACTGAAACCACCCTTGCTTCCTAATATATTGGTAAATACATGCAAATGAAATATTCTACTTTTTCATCTTAGTCCTACATGTATATCAAAATTACTTAAAATAAAATCTGTGTATTCAGTAGATTCCAGTTTATGCCATTTAAGTCAAAGGGTAGATAACTCTATAGTACCATGGAATGCATACATTTTTAAAAAGGTAATTCTGGTATTGTAGTATCTTAAAATAAATAAGTCTCTTTAAATCTGTCTTGATCTTGACTTTTTGACTAATATACTAGTCCAACTGAACTAAGCAGGTTTTAAAAAAGTATGAAGATTTTAAAACGGATCAAAGGACAGAAAATATATATGCTTCATACAAGGATTCTGCAAAATTAAAAAGAAACATTTTATAATCTTCACTTCTTAAAATGTAAGTTGAAGGTCACCATTTCTCAGAAAACTCTTAAGGTCAAGCATTAGCGAAGGGGTCATGCTTGGCTTTACATTGATTCATATGAAAATAACACATAAGAAAATATGGAGAAACTCAATATTTTTAATGCAGTTCAAATTAAATGTAAAAATATTTTGTAAATCATTGCACATGTAATAACAAATCATAACAAAAACAAAATGTGGCATTCTTATAGTAAATGTGAAATGACAGGTGTTTGTATTTTCTATTTTGATTAAAATACTTCAGGAAAAGTACATTTATCAAAAGTGAAGCTAGTAGTTCTCTTCAATTCAAAGCTTAATATAATACAGAATTTACAATATAATTATTCATAGTACATATTTACAGGTGACCACATTAAAACAAACAAAAATATACTAGTACATGTGTACCTATATCTGTGTGTAATTATTAGCTTAAATTTTGCAAATCTAAAAATACACCCACAATGTACATGTGACTGTACATATATATGTAGAAAGGACAGCTATATTAAATTTCAAGATGTACATAGTACATATATTAAAAATTTTCAGGTACATATAGAAGAGCACAAGTTAAAGATTAATTTTATGATTTCTTTGCATTTCAGGGACATTATAGGGATAAAAGTTACAAAGCTCATTTGATCAAACATTATCTTTACAGCAGCTACAGCAGAAAGAAAGTTCTAATGTTGTGCACCCCTAGACACTACATTAATGCAAGCTTGGTCAGGTCGAGTTTAAAGTAGATTGGGAATGGACCTGCTCCAAAACATTCATAAAAAATTAATGTCAGATCAATTCAGTACTTTCATTATCCATGCAAGTCAACTTAGTCAACTCTCAAAAGGACCAAGAAAGTTGGGAATGGGTCTGTTCTACAAACTCGTAATTCATTCAAAAATGGGTCACATTCAGTATCTAAAACAAGTATTAAAAGCTTGTACTCTGCATCCCTAGACCCAGTTCATCTATGCAAGTTTACTCATGATAGGGCTTATTCCATCATGTACATATGTAGTTACTTGGGAATGTGCCTCTTCCAAAAAGTTTACCAGATCCCTCATCTAAAAAATGAAGGCCATTATAGCATCCAAAGCAAGTCTCTTAGTGTGCATCTTTAGATGCATCATGATCCATGCATGTTAGATACAGATAGGCTTAGCTACTTGGAAATGGATCTGCTCAAATAAAAAATTGAACCGGGAAATCAGTGCTAACACCAGGAGCATAAGCTCTTTCAGACTTTGTCAAGGTGAGCTAATTGTAAAGGTGAAAATGAAGAAAATCAAATCACTGCAAACTATATAAATGCACATATATGATTAGTCTGTTTCACAAAAATTTGAAAAAAAAGAAAAGAAATATAGAGAAAAAAATTAAATAATTATAACTGCATTAATTCTTCTCCACCGGTAAACAAGTTTTTAATTTGAGAGAAATCATAAATTAATAAACAAATGTTATATAAAACAAAAACATCGAGATGAAGGCTAAAGCTGTAATAATAAAACATTGAAAGCCGTCTTCTCAACAGGTAAATGTACAAAATTTTCATCACAATGTTCTATATACTGTTTGCTGTGCACAATGGTACTAGTATTTATATAAAGTTAAACTATTCTGTCAAGTACTACATAAAAATTTCATGTTGAAAAAATTTGGTTGAAATCTAAATTTAACTAGTGCTAATTGTAACGGGGACCGTTACAGATGTTCCCCAAACGCTCCCCAACTCCCTTTTGGTGCCATATTCCATGTAAGCTTCATTAAATAGGACAAAATTTATGCATTTGAGACTTTAATTATCAACGCCAAGTTCATTTAAATTTTAGCATTGCACGCGTGCGCATGTGAATGCATGTGCGTAATGACCATATCATCTTGTCTACATAATTTATAAATTTTAATATACTAAATATTAAAGTATTTAAACCAAAAGTATTAAAACATACGCTCATTCAAGTGTATTTTTGATTTAACTCATTTCACGTGCACGCACGTGCATACATGAGCATGGTGACCATATCTACTTGTAGAAGTCCATTACATCTATCTATGTTCTAAATCCCACCCCGTTTGGTTGAAAAGCAAGGGAGTTATAGCTGTTTAAAGTTTCAGCCAATCCGATTACAGCGCATGTACACCCACATGTATGCATGTGCATTGTGGCCATACCTTCTTGTAGAGGTTCATTAAATCTATGTATGTTCCAAATCCCATCCTCTTTTGTTGAAAACTAAGGGAGTTATAGCTATTTAAAGTTTAAGCCAATCAGATTGCAGCGCACGTGCATGCACGTGTTTTCATGATAATTGTTATATATCATGTTGTAGGATATCTTTATGCATGGCTATGTTCAAAATTCCATAAGATTTCTTTGAAAAACAAGAAAGATATAGAGACTTTAGTTTCAGCCAATCAGAGCGAAGCGCACGTGCATGCGCGTAAGATCTTGGTATTTTGGCCATGTCATACTGTCTATGCTACAAATATATCCTTATATTATGAATTTCAAAGCATTTCATTACAAATGTAAAAAGTTACGCCTATATCACTTAAACCGGTTATTTCACGTGTTGCACGCGCGTGCTCTTGCAAACACACATGCATGTACGTGCTTTTATGAAAATTCTTGTTAATCATGCTGTAGATCTTCATAATTTGTGACTAAGTTCAAAATTTCAAATGATTTTGACAAGAAACAAGAAAGATATTGATTTAGTTTCAGCCAATCAGAGCGAAGCGCACGTGCATGCGCGTGAGATCTTGCCATATTGACCGAGTCATCTTGTTTATACTACTAATATATCCTTACATTATGAGTTTCAAAACATTTCATCAAAAATAGAAAAGTTACAGCAGTATACATTATATTGGTCATTTCACGTGTTGCACGTGCGCGCTCTTGCAAGCACGTGCGCGCAAAATGACCTTCGTTTGGCAACTCTACATAACATGCCTACTGACCCTAAAAAGGTTTCACCTAAGTCGGATGTATAGTTTACAAGATCACTCGTGGACAAAATTTTCCCAGGAAGAAGAAAAATAATAATAATAATAATAATAACAACTAGATACTCTTGTTGCTACGGCAACAAATAAGGTCTTCCGTTCTTAAGACTTCTTTATTTATCTATAAGAAGGATATTTTTCTATTTAAAAAAATAAATAAAGGACAAAATGCAAAAAAAAAAGAAGAATCCTCGATCTAGGCTCGATCCCAAAACCAGAATGAAAGTCTGACACGCTAACCACTATCGAGTTCGACAACAAAAAAGGTTTTTTGTAAACTTATCATTTTAAGGTTCAAGGAAGTACTTTCGTAGTACTCATTCTATAAAATATATTTATGGGATAGTATGATACTCAATTAATAAAGTTTTTCTCTCATAACCGGAAGTTGCTGTTTTTGTTTCTTTTGGGACGGACATATATCGGAACAACAATTAAGATGCAATAGTGTGATGCCAAGAAGTATTCCTTAAAGAAAAGTTAAAATTCATGATTTCTTTGATCACTTCCTGTGACGACCGGAAGTGATGGCAGACAATCTTATCTTAATTGTTTTTGCCAACTCATCAAGATTAACCACTTTATTAAGTTTGGTGTCTTAATCTCTCAATGTTTACGAGATCTAGCTATGATAACTTCTCATTTTGAGGACAGGAAATCACGCGACCGGAAGTGAGTTTTGCAAAAATTTCTTGAGGTTAATGTTGACAGTTGCAGTCTGAATAGCATATCCAAAAATCATTACAAATACTTCATAAATAAATGATATTTATTGGAAAGAAAAACACTGAAATTATGTAGTTTCCCTCTTTTAACCGGAAGTTGTCTCTTTTTGTTTCCAGTGGTACTGAAATAATTGAAAACAACAAATAAGATGCTCTAATGTGAGGCTAAAACAGTTTCATAATAGAAAAGTTGAAAATTTCGATTTTTTGGATCACTTCCTGTGACGACCGGAAGTGACGGCAGACGATCTTATCACAACTAATTTTGCCTACTTATCAAGATCTATCACTCTAGATAGGTTTGGTGTCTTAATCTTTTACCGTTTACAAGATCTAGCTATGATAACTTCTTATTTTGAGGACCGGATATCACGCGACCGGAAATAAATTTTACAAAGATATTTGACGTTACTGTAGACATTTGCAGTCTGAATAATATATCCAAAAACCATTTCAAATACATTACGCATAAAAAATATTTATGGGAGAAAACAATACTGAAAATATGCAGTTTTTCTCTTATAACCGGAAGTTGTCGTTTTTGTTTCCGGTGAGACTTATATATTTCGAAACTACAAACAAGATGCTATAATGTGATGCAAAAAAGTTTAAAAAAATAAAAAGTTGAAATTTTCGATTTCTTTGATCACTTCCTGTGACGACCGGAAGTATCAAGATCTATTACTCATATAAGTTTGGTGTCGTAATCTTTTACCGTTTCTGAGATATGACTCGGACAAAACTTTTTTGAAAAAAGCGGAAATCGGACATAACTGACGACCGGAAATGAATTTTCAAAAACTAAAAACTGCATTTAAAAGATATTTTAACTCTCTATCATCTCTGAAAATTTCATAGTCATCTCTGAGAAATCGTCCAAAAAAGAAAAGGGGAAAAAAATAATAATAATAAAAAGAAACAGTAGAATCACTATAAGGTCTTCCGTCTGAAACGGAAGACCTTAATAAGAAACAGAGTAAAAACAATATGGTCCCCAACTTCGTTTGGGGAACATAATAATCTAAAAGGCTCTTTTTTTGTTAATGTTGTAAGAGTTGTTAACAGTATGTATAGCAATGATGTGTGCACTAACTGTAACGAGTGATTAATTGATAAATATACAAAAAAAATTTAAGTGTAATTCAATACATGGCATACACTGTCACTTAATTTACTTTAATGCCCCTTTTTTACTTGAAATTATGGCACAACTGCAATTCTTTATACATAAGATAAAACTGAAATATTGTAAACTTCATGTTTTAAAATTTTACATTAAAATCTTTAATTCACACAACTGGAAATGAGAAATATCAGTACATTGTATCAATTTCACTTTTTTTGCCCTAAAATTCAAAGAGAGGGCATATGAAATCCTAGCTTATTCATCAAAATGCTAAAACAACTGGAGCAAAATTGTTTTGAATGCATTTATACTTGGCCAATATACCTTAAGGGCAAAAACTTTTTTTTTCTTTTCACTCATTGCAATAAATTTTGTTCATTCTAACAAAAAAGCAATAAAATAATTGTAAATGAAGAATACATGTTTATACACAAATCTATACAGTATATACAAAATCTATGTACATATATTTATACACCATGGTGTTGATGAGAAGAAAATATTGAATGTTTCACAACTGAAATGAAAAGTCCCCTTGATGAGACTTGAATTCTTTGTGCATTTTATTTAAACCAGTCAATTCAACAAAGCAACTTTATGTAAAGGTTCAAATTAATTCAAATACGTCTCACCCATTTCATACTCCAAATAAAAGTTTAACAATTCGTTTATGTATAATACTTTGAAAATAATCTTTTAAAATGTTCTCTTCTTAATAAGTATCAAAGGACAGAAGGTCAACAAGTGTCCTCAGCTTTGAGCTACTTGATGGATATTTTCTAATAGGACAGCACCATGTACTACAGTGTACCTTAATGTAAGGTGAAAAATCCTCATAACTGGCATCACTTTAATCAACTGACTTTGAAGAACGAGGACTGACAACGTCATGGCTCTCCATAATTTCCTGAAACTGTCCTTTATTTCCTGGGCTTTTCCCAGAGTGAAAAGGCAAGTACAGGCAAGTTATATGGCCACACTGGTTTTTTGTAGTTTGGAGTGTACTCGTACTTTATTGTCACATCAAACCAACAGATGGAGACATCAAGCTGTTGCAACATTTTCTATTATACCATTCTCTAACATGGAGGGGCGAATGGATTCTTCAATCAGTTTTGTTATACTATCACGGTCATTCTGAAAAAAAAATTCAATAACAGAACGTCAAGACTAGTTTCCTTTGAAAACATTTTCATATACTCTGTACACATTTGGTGCATTGTAAAACACAAATCATATATTCCCCAAACAGTGCAGTAAAGATACACACACACCTGATTAATGAAGCCATAATGCACCAGCTCTTGAGCCAAGTTCTCTGGTGTGTCTTCATCATTGACCTCTGCTGTCAACTGCCTGTTCATTTTGTCGTCCATCTTCAGTTGTAGGGTGAGATTGTACACTCCTTGTTCGTCCGTTTTCTTCACCGAACAGGAGTACTGTATGACGAGGCGATTCTCCACGTCCACCGGTTCTGGGATTTCTGACTTTGAGGACTCCACCACCTCCGGAGTTTTGGCCCTTGGTTTAGGAGGGGGTGTGGGTACATTAAAGGCAGTCAGAGGGAAGATACCATTTCTGTGTGATAAAAATATGACATCTGTACATGTATTTTTCTTGGGGAAATCAAAAACATGCACATGTATATTAACATATCACTGATGCAAAGAGCCAGATCATGTCTTGACAGGTGTGGACCATCTGGGCAGAGGAGAAGATCTATGAGATCCTCACATTTTTCAGATAAAGATAATGTTATGATGATAAATTTATCATAATCCCCATTATTTTTACTAAATAAATATAAATTTTTCAGGATCAATACATGCAATATAAAGTTTATCTGTTAAGCAAACCAAATTTTCAAGGGATTCTTTTTTTATACACATGAAAAATTTTAAATGGATTCAGAAAACCACTTCCAATAGGTCAATGCACACCACTGAGCAAGTCCCACATAAAACATTTGGGTGTATTATAAATTAATATATAAAATATGCAGATTAAGGATTGTAAATATGTGTAGAATCTTTTAACAGTCGATGTACACTAACCTGACATCTTCTAATAATTTCTCCCGCTCCATAGGAGGACACTTGGACACTCTGTGGAGAAAATCAAATACATTCAAAACACAATAAACAAATGATGATGGAATGTGTCCATCATAAAATCTCTTATAGCTGTAATTTTAAAATTTTGCAACAAATGCAGTACCGAAAGAAGTAATTAAAGATGGGTATCTAAGGCATTACAAACAGATGTACACTGTACAACTAGAGAGATGGACAGACAGACACCCCCATCACTTTACATCCCCCTTTTCAAGCGAGGGGGTGGGGGATAATAAAATTACAATTTTTTATATGTTCAGTAAAGCCACTCTTGAGTACAAATAATTTTTTGATAAATTGTTTTAATTTGATTTCTTGCTGTGAATTCTGTAATACAGGATTATCTATGCATCTACTGGTAATCAAATCTATCCAAACATGTAGATAATTATACAGGTATTAATATTTTCCTGTTTACCTCCACACCACCCCTTCCCTGCCATCAGGGTGTGTAATCTCTGCGATCACTTGATTTGGTTCCAACTTGTATTTGTTGGCTTGGTCTGTTAAATTTTCAGGTAAAATTGCTGGAAAGAGAAAGTAAGAGAAGCTTCAATTTCATTAGATATTAGCATTTTGGACTATGTACAGGTATCATGTTAAAAAAAAAAGTCCTATTAACAAATGCAAGAAAACTAGAAATGCAATCCTAATACATATACTAAACACAACTTGAACAAAATACCTTGAAATAAATGACTTTTTACAGTGAAAGACTATATACAAAAAAATTAAACTGATCTTCAACTTAAATAAAGTGCCACGCCACAGCATGATACGCCCGTCAAAATATTACACAAGTAGAACTGTCCAAACGGGACAAAATACCCCCCGCTGGGTTATTCAGAAGTAGGTTTTTCCATAATAAAGATATGTATCAAACACGAATTATGAAATTTTTCTTCCAGGGACCTTGAACTTCCCCAAATGACCTTGGGTCAAGGTCATGACACACCCTTGGGTCAAGGTCACGACACACCCTTGGGTCATGGGCAATCTTTGTGTGAAATGAGAACCTACCAAGTTTATCCATAAGAAAGATATGGACCGGATACGAATTATGAAATTTTTCTACCAGTGACCTTGAACTTCCCCAAATGACCTTGGGTCAAGGTCATGACACACCCTTCGGTCATGGGCAATCTTAGTGTGAAATGAAAACCTACCAAGTTTATCCATAAGAAAGATATGGACCGGACACGAATTATGAAATTTTTCTTCCAGTGACCTTGAACTTCCCCAAATGACCTTGGGTCAAGGTCATGACACACCCTTCGGTCATGGGCAATCTTTGTGTGAAATGAGAACCTACCAAGTTTATCCATAAGAAAGATATGGACCGGACACAAATTATGAAATTTTTCTTCCAGTGACCTTGAACTTCCTCAAATGACCTTGGGCCAAGGTCATGACACACCCTTGGGTCATGGGCAATCTTTGTGTGAAATGAGAACCTACCAAGTTTATCCATAAGAAAGATATGGACCGGACACGAATTATGAAATTTTTCTTCCAGTGACCTTGAACTTCCTCAAATGACCTTGGGTCAAGGTCATGACACACCCTTAGGTCATGAGCAATCTTACTGTGGAGTAGTAGATTCTAATGTCCCTCTGTAAGAAAGATATGGACCGGACACGATTGCACAGACAGACGGACAGACAGACAGACGGACAGACAGACAGACGGACAAGGTGATTCCTATATACCCCCCCAAACTTTGTTTGCGGGGGGTATAATTATCTTTAACAGTTTAGACTGCAAGAAAATCACTTCAACCTTGATTGTAAGATTTCCATGATTTTTCCATTTTTAAAAAAAATATTTCTTTATCCATCCCCTGTGCTGTAGGCATAATTATAACAAATATTACATAACTGACAGATTTCTATACTGTTTGTGTTAAACTTTGTCAAATGCCGGCCATCATAATAAACAATATCAAATTAGTCTTAACAACTTAATCTATGCCAAATTAATTTTGAAAAGAAAGGCTGGCCATCAAATGACATTTGCTATGACCAGCAGTTCTTCTGTCTAATCCCCAAAGACAGATAAGGCAGCGCTTGATCAGATAGCCTTCCTACATTGAACTCATTAATTAATCTTTGACTGGATGCTTGTCTACTCATTACTCCCTAAATATTAATGGATCTGCACTTTTTATCCTAAAACACTTTTAAAACATATAAAATACTCCATGATTTCTTTTTAGATTTAATGCCAGACAGGTTTTATATTTAATTCATATGGTCAAGTAGGCATGCTGATTCAACCCCACCCCATAAAATTAGTTTTTAATAAATTAATATTATATAATATCAGATTATTAGTTTATTATGCAATATCAAATAAGTTTTAATTACTTTTTATCAAATTCATTTTAAAACTTAGATAGCTAGCCACCAAGAGCTATTTTTAATCTAACAGCTAGGCTGGCTGTCCATTTGCCCAATACCCAAGGGATAACACCAAACCTCCTCACACTAAACTCATTAATTTCTCTCTAATTTGACATGCAACTTTCTGCTATTAAAATTCTTCCTGACCAGTGCTTGATAATTATGCCCATGGGACAAACTGAATTCCTCTCATTAACACTGAAATTTGTTTAAAATTGCTGTAAAGTATATGATGAAAAAATAAGTTTTTACTTGATTTAATACTTTTTAATAAGGATACAACTCTATTTTTTACATTTTTAGGATTACGAAATTTAAAATTTAAAAAACTTAAATTTTTAAAAAATTTCACTAATATTAAAGGTCACAGTGACCTTGAAATAGGTCGCGACACACCTTCTACTTAAGATGTATACTTTTGCCAAGTTTGATAGCTCTAGGTCTAATAGTTTTCTAGTTATGAGCAGGACAGGATTTTTCCATATTTGGCCATAGCATCTTTATTAAAGGTCAGAGCGACCTACTTTTGGTGCGCGACACACCGTCTACCCAAGAAGTATCAGTTGACAAAGTTTGATAATCCTAGGCCTAATAGTATTGAAGTTATGAGCCGGACACGAATGGACAGACGGACAGACGGACGGACGGACGGACATGAAGCCTATAACATAATACGTCCCGTCTTAAGACGGGCGTATAAAAAACCCAATCCATCTCAGATTACAGCTAAAAGTGTCCTTTTATACAGTGATTCTCCCAAAATCTTTAAAAAGTATGCAATGGACATAGAAAGGTACTTACATCAATTTTTTTTGAGATATGTGCAATTCACAATAACTTGATATTATGTAATTACTTTTCTACAAAGTTCTAAATACTTACATGAATGTACAATGGCATGTGCAGCTAAAAGAAGCAGTGAATGAACTTCAAATAGAATTTCATGGAATAGAAGCTCCCTGGCCTGGGGCCGTTTCTTAGGGTCCTTCTGTATACACTTGGATATGAAATCCTAAATGAAAACAGGGGTTTTCTTAGTTGTCTTATAGAATTGATTGTTCTGGGGCATCTTTTATTCATGTATCATGATGTATGTCTCAAAAAAAAAAAACAAATATTTAGAAAAAGTACAACAAAGTACCTTAAAATAGTGTATTCTCCGCCATTCTTTACATACTCAGAGGAGTGAGAGTTTACTTTCTCTGGTTTAGCTAGTAATATTAATACCTTTTGTAGGGGATTTTCCAGCGAGGCTAGTGTTTTTTCTATGGCCTCTTCTGTGACATGATTGGTACCACCTTCTCCTCCATTGCCTTGGAAACCTAGTGCTGCAATCTAGGAGTGACCTTGCAGTGTTAATTACAGATCAATTCAAGAAAAACAAATAATTATTCAGTAAAGATCAAATACAGAAATTGGGACAACTAATGAAAAAAGAAAATTACCTCCAGAGCACACATTCCAAATGAGTAGATATCTATGGCAGTAGTGCATCTAGATGGATCTGAAGGAGAAAATATATAAATTAGCTTCTACTGCATTTATATTAATAATTTTGTATACCCCGGTAGTAAAATTTTTTTTCACAAAACATTTCGAAAAGCAAGATTTAAACTCTTTAGTACATACAATGCCCTTGGCAAGGTTAAAACCTTGTGAGGCGAAATGACAATGAGCCCCTTAATACAGGGGTTGCAAAGACAGTGTATATGAATTTATTTTTCAATATTCATTAACTATTCCAAATAACTCAGTTACTTACCCTCATATTCAGGAGCCACACAGTGCATGTTTTTGATGTCTTTTCTGTAGGTTTTCACAATGTGCATGGCATCAGGGGCCACTGAAATTGACAGGTTAAAATTTAACATTAACCTTTAGTGCCACACAAAAAAAAAAAAATCTTTTTCATGAACTGGTCAATTTAACTTTGAATAATCAAGCATTCTAAGGGTATTGCATAAGTAATACCACAGGGAAGTGAAATCTGGTTCCCCTTAAAAATTAAAGCTTGGAACATGTGCATGATTTAAACAAGGAATGTTTATCATTTACTTTCTATTCTAGAATGGAAATGTTATTGACTATACCATAATCCTTAGGAGGTCCAAGTTCACCTACATGTATAAGTATTAAAGAGAAAGATCAATTTCAAACAGTCTTTCAGCTAGTCATAAATGAAGATATTTAGGCCAGACAAAAATGTGCCTTGTCAACCTCATTTGAAAACAGGAAAAAGAAAAAGCAATTACTTACCGGAACCTATTTTGATGAGCCCATTGTGTTGAATAAATATCGTATCACAGGTCAAATTTCCATGTATAATCTCACAGGAATGTAGGTAACTGTAATAAAATTGATATACTAATTCTTATAAAACTTTCAGTTTTGAAAATAGGCTTCAAACAATGGTGAAATTGTATAACAAAAAAAAAAATGTTTTGGCAGTGTGCATCCATAGTATGCAAGTATGGTGTGGTACATCTTCACAAGCCAAGGGTTTCTGATATGCTATTCATGCGGAGAGTAGCGTTTCAGAAACCCTTGTCTAGCGAAGATGGGTGTGGTAAGTTTTTGAATAGCTTGAGAAAAGACATACTCTAACAAATCTTTTTCTGTTCAATATGAAATATGATTGTAAGATTCATCATCTAAAACAAGTCTCATAGTGCACATTCCTAGTTGCAGTCATCCAAGTTTGGACCAGGTACCGCTTTTACAAAAATTAAAGTTGGTCCAAAAACTTCAACCGGTTCACCCATCCAGAAAATATAAGTCAGATCCAGGATATGAAGCAAGTCTGGCAGCTTGCCTTTTTCATCCATGGAGGTTTGGCCCTGGTAGGGACTTTCAGGTACTTGTTAATAAACCTGCTTCAATCTCCCCCCCCCAAAAAAAAACACCACCAAAATTTCCTTGAGTTGGGTTTACAACCCCCCCCCAACTTCCTTGAGTTGGGTTTAAAAGGGGGGTAATTTTGAATGCAGTTCAAGCAAGATATTGTCCCATGCATGATTAAATCTTTTTTAGGGATAGGGGTCATAAAAAACAGTCTACCGTATATACTCGCCTATTAGTCGGTCCGCCTATAAGTCGGACAACGAGTTTTGGACCAGAGATTAACTCCCAAAAAACCGACTTATAGGCAAGTATATACGGTAATCATCCATTACATATCATTTTTTAAAAGGAAAATTTTGAAAATATATATATATTTTTTCATTTTGTTTCATTTAATGAGCAGATTACCTGAGAGCAGACAAGATCTGTGTACACCACCTCTTCCATGCCTGACAAAAAATAAATTAAACATAAAAATATTACCTCCAAACTGTTCAAATGTCTTTCTTATTATTTTTGATGTCAATGTAAAATTATCATCATGAAATAAAATCTCTCCTAATTTGGGATCAACTTTAAACAAGCATATAGCTGATGATTGCATTGAATTCTTGCTACATAGTAAACAGGATTAAATTATCAATGTTTGTTCTTAATTTGACTGACCTTGAGCTGGAATGTTTTGTTGTTCTTCTTTGTCCTCTTTAAGAACTGTTTCAGGGAGCCAGAGGACATGTATTCTGTGATGAATATAACCTGAACAAGAATAAAGAAAATATTAGCATCAGAAAAAACTTGAGGTTATTGTGAACACTGAGCTCAAAAAATAATACTCTACTTGCATATGTGTATATAATGGCAAAATGCATTGTTTGCAGTATGTGAATGTGATTCTGTGAAAGTTCAATATAATAGATAGAATAATTTGCTGTGTATCAAAATTTAATACATTCTTAATTTCTGGTATGATAAAAGCAACAAATTTTAGGACAGAATTTTGATATTTTCTCCAAAAAAAAAAAAGAAGACAAAATGGAAAATGAAAGAAATGGAGAATGATACATTTACATGGTCTCGAAATCTGAATCAAGATAGAGCCACTTTGACACTTACCCTTGGTCGTCCATCTTTGGTATCTGTCCAGTACTTATGGAATTTGACAATATTTGGGTGATCTAGTTGTATCAGACTGTTAAAGACTTGTCGGATCTTTTCCTGCAAAAGATTTCAATTTGACATATATAGAAACATACCTAATAAGGATACATATTTATATACTATTAAAAATCCTTATCTAAAATATACTGCATTTTCTTAAACTATAGACATTCAATACCAATGCTGTTTATGCCAATAGATAATTCATAAACATTTGTGTCATGAAATTAGTTTAGTGTATATAAATAAGTTCTAAATTCTAATTCAACTATTTAACTTCACTGCAAACCAACTTTCATCTTGAACTGCTCAATTATCTTTAGTTTTTTCCTTGTAAAAGCTATAATACAAGATATGCATGCATCTCTGCACTGATTTGCAAGGGGTTCTCGAAATGTTCATGGACTGAAGCAACATGTACTTTGCTGGCAGCTGCTGTGTTTTCAAAATTTATAAGGAGGAATAAAACGACAAAAGCTTACAAGTGTTGAAATTTTTAGCTTTATACATTGGTTATCTGCCAATTTATCATTTTTCAAAAAAAACATTAGACATCCCTGCATGGTCTGTTTTGACATTGTCAGACTCAGTCTACTTCTTCGGCTTCATCTGTTCATTACATACTTCTTGATGTGACACTGTACATAATTATTTCATTCTTTTTATTTGACTTCAAAAATTTAATGAACTGCTGACAATATGGTCATTAAGTATCAATTTAAGAGGTAAAGATGCTATGTTTTTATGGCCTCAGTGCATAAACTTTTAAAAACCCCTTGTCTGTGTTCTGCAATTTAAAGATTTCATTCAAAATCAATTGATTTCCAGTAAGAAGAAAATCTATCTCTCTAAGCATTCAAAAACTTTTTAAATATTGTGCATGTATATACACCAAACATGACATACTTAGTATATTTTATCATGCAAAATCCTACCCCATTCTGATTTACCAATACAGTTATATTGCATAGCCATGATGTACAGTGTGCAATATACAAAGCAGACACATAATTATTTCGACATGTGAGAACACATATTTTGCTAACTTTCAAATTTCAGTAGAGCTTCTGTTTTCACTTGTAATATTGTACAAATGCACATGTACATTCCTTTTGCAAATTATACCAATGTACCGATGTATATATATACTCATGTAATGTTAGTATGAGGCCTGATAGCACATCAGGACTCACTGATTTGTACAAGTGAGTGCTAGTTACTCTGTAAAGCTAAGTCCACTGTAATACACTGTATTTCCAAACACTTTCTGCACTGGGAACAGTTGTATCTACAGACCATTCCACCGCATCCCTGAGAGACAACTGACAAAAGCATATGGTACATGTATCTTGAATTGTACAGAATTTGTACTTTAAATGTGATTTTAGAATTCATCAGAATGAAATTTGACATCCTTTTGTTTAAAAATAAGGTTGTATGAAAAATAATTCTGAAATTGCAAAATTCTATCAAGCAGTTCACTCTTGAAATAACAGGAATAAGTGAATGCTACTAAAACAATCTTGAAATGCCAAAAATGATGATTAAATATAATCATATTTTTTCCAATAAAGAATAAAATTTGTGAATTGTATTTTGGGATATCAAATTTGTGCATCACAAAATGAAAGGTTATTTTTTTCTGAAAAATAAACATTTTTTCTATGAACTTTCTTTAATTCATAATTTGAGCATTCATTTGTGAAGATTTTTGCCATATATTCCTGCCAACAACCTTTTTGCTAATCTAAATTCAATCTAAGTTCACTACATTGCCCTACCAACATAGCTGCCAAAGTGAATAACTAACAGAAAATATGTCACACAAGAAAACTACCTATTAATGAATTCTTATTTCATCTAATGCTAGGTAACTATCTAAAATTAAAATTGAATGTGTAAGTAAATCTAAATTAGATCAATATTTCTTTCTGAAAAAGCAATACACTATACAAATATTTCAGCATTCACTAATTTAGTTCCTTTTGTACTGTTGTCAAACCTAATCATAAATCTAACTTAAAAGTCAACTCTTCATACAAAAATGAAACCATAGAAAAAGAAAATAATACTGTTGTTGATTTATACTTAATTTTTTTCAATTACAAGTCATGTATTTATACAACCATGCCTGCTTGTCAATGAACAGGACAATGAACAGTTAGATGCTGCATAGGAGTAATGCAAAAGCTTGGTGTGGACAAGCCGAGAAAACATACGTTCAACAGGTAATCGTTCTGAATGGAGGATTTTCGCCTGGGTTTGCTGGCTTCTGAAGTCTGAAAATCGTGCATGCAGTCGAGAAATGTAGAGGAAAAAAAGTGAGAAAGCAAAAGTTCAGAGTCAAATAAAAAACAAAACACTATGCATGGCAAAAGAAATGCAGAAATAGAGAACAAGCAATTTTATCAATGATGATTTAAATAATATTACATGTTCTATTCTAAAAAATAAATATGATGATGGTACAGGTTAAAAGTCAAGTACTTGAAACATTGTGCTATAACATTGTAAGAGTTGAAGAAAGTTATAACCAACTAATAAATATACCTCACTGCAAACCAACTTTTAAATAAAATTATTTTCTGTTGCACTATAATAAAATTTATCTCTATTGACATTGACTCCTGTGCTTGATAGTTTACTTTTTATACAGCTGGTTTACAGCAAGGAGAACTGCTATCCTTTTTAAAACATTCAAAACAATTTGTAAAACATTAACGTTATATATACATACACCAGGACTGTCCAACCCTGATTTATTTCTATCATGCAAAATCATATTCCATTCTGATTACCAGTTAAATTTAAGTGCACAACCACAGGATGTGAAAGGGAGACACACAGATTTATTTCTATATTGCATTAGAACATGTGTACATGTACCGCTAACTTTTCCTAAACCAATCCAGTTTCTTTTCTCACAATTACTAATATACAAACCTATACATGTACTGATATGTTACAATAAGGGCTGATAGCACTCTAGAAGGGGCTCTCACAGACTTGTACATGTGAGAAGGTACTAGTAACTAGTGGTGATAAAAATGACCAAAAGCTACTGCTACATTGTATTGATTGTCAAAATTAATTGGCAGCTTACATTATTTAACTGAATTAAATTTCTTTTACTAATAGTCATGGACATCACTCAATTTTTTAAAGTTTAGTAGACTATCCTTAATTCCTAAACAGCACAACTTCATGCTGTTAACTGCAATAATATATGCTTTTAATATTTCTCAACACTGTCCAAATTAGGAACAAACAACCCCCATGCCTTCTATCTATATGTAACATGCCACCACATTCCTAATTGACAAAAGCACGTTGAAAATTTGAAATTTAATAATTAAATCATTTACATGTTTTAGCTATTGGAATAAAAATTCTTTCTCTCTTAAAATAAAGCTTTGTGAAAACTAGTTCTGAAAAGATAAAATCCTAACAAGCAGTTGTTAATTTAGCATATATTTTACTTGTACAATACATCTACAGCGATTTTAAAACGAAAAGGGGGAAAATTCTAATTACAATAAAATATTAATGATAAATTTATATGCAGTTTCTAAAAACATTCTACATGTATTTTAAATTTTGTCATGACTGCTTGTAAAGAGACAAAAATGCTGCACAGAAATTAAATGCAAAAGCTTGGCAAAGACAAGTTGAGAAAACATACGTTGAACATGTAATCATTCGGAATGGAGGATTTTCGCCGGGGAATGCCGGTGTCTGAAGTCTGAAAATTGAGCATGCAGTATAGAAATAACAAAAGAAGAGAAAACAGTAAGAAAGCAAAGGTTAAAAATTAAATAATGCCCATGGCCACAATGCTCACCTGGTCACACTGCTGTTTCAAAGCATTTCCCCTCTCTATAAACTAACGGCTACCAAAGGATGTTAACATTTTAACGTGGATATTAATGACCTTGCTGTTTCTCTTTATCAGATTTTTTTATATATGTTTCCAGGCAAGTATCTGAACCCTTATTGTAGCCCAACCTAAATTGAACAATATAAATCTGTGCCACAGAAAGATGTACTTTGACTTATCATGACTTTGTACACTTTTTTTTTAAATCAAAAAAATGTTTATCCCCCATTTTGATCTCACATAATCACTGGTGCCCTAATTTAAAACTTGCATGAACAACCGTCAGGATTTTTTTTTCACTTAGTCTTCTCTGGCTCATTGGTTCTCAAGAAGAAGATTTTTAAAGACATCTGCCTTTTTGTCTTCCTTTCCAGAGAATGTGGCCTTGATTTGAACAGACTTTAATCCCCTTTACATGAAGACACTTCCTGGTGAGTTTAGTTAAAATTAGACCAGTACTGGTACAAGTGTTTCTGGAGAAGAAGAAGATGAAAATGTGAAATATGAATTGTAATAGATGAACAGACAGATTATCTGTGATCAGAAAAGCTCACATGAACCACTGGTTCAGATGAGCTAAAATTTCAAAGATATTCGCAAGAAAACAATTTTTAACTGATATTTAGTAAAGACAATTTTTTTTAAATAAATGTATCAAGAAAGGGGAAAAAAATAATCTTTTTTTTGCAAAATTTAGAACAAAGAGCAGGTTGATACTTCAGAATTACAGTAGTAAGGCAAAAGCTTGGTGTAGATAAGCTGGGAAAAACCTACGTTTGACCTGTATTCGTTCTGAACGGAGGATTTTCGTCGAGGGCGGGTGTTGTCATATAAAGTCTGAAAATTGTGCATGCAGGAGAGAAATTATAAATGACGAGTCAAAGTGATCAAGCAAAGTTCAGTGCCAAGTTTATTTTGTTTGACACTGCAAGAAAAATGCAGAAATAGAGATCAAGCAATGCAATCAGTGATTTTCAATTTCAATAAATAATACACAGTTCAAATACAATTTCATCTATAAATTAAAGAGTTTCTACTTGCAATATTAAACTATGATAATCATAAATATAAGAGTGAATAATGTTAAAAAGTTGTAAAATCAATTATCAAATTTTACTGCAAACCAACTTTTAAGTTTCATTTTTTTTTTTTTTAAATACATCTGAAATGCTGTCTGAGGACTATATTCTGTGTTCTAGAAACTTAAAATTTGAAAGTAAAATCAACTGGTTTACAGTAGAAAGAAAACATCTTTTTAAGCATTTTAAAAAAAATTACATGTATATACACCAAAATGACCAACCCTGACACATTCCATCATGCATATTTGTATCCCATACTGATTTACATCATACCAGTACAGTTAAGTGCACAGTCATGTGGAGTAAAGGGTGGAGATATAGAGACATGGTTATTTCCATATAATACAAGAACATGTACTGTGCTAACAGTTACTTTCCCAGACCCCGCTACTGCTCCTATTCTCACCTGTTTTATACAAATGCACATGTAGTGATGTACATTCTCAATAGAAAATATACCAATGTACCAAACCTATATATATAAACTATAATATGTACTATAATGTTAGAATGAGGCCTGATAGCACACCAAAAAGGACTCAGACTTAAACAAGTGAGTACTAGTAACTCTATAAAGCTACTTTGGCTTATTTTCCCCAACACTGTCCACATTGGGGAGGACCATTCCACCACATTTCTAACAGACAACTGACAAAAGCATAATGACACATACCTAGAATGTAAATAATTTTGTACTGTATTTTAATGATTTACTAGAAGATAATAATTCCTTTTGTCTTAGAATGTAATGGATCCTACTTCCAAAAATATGAAATAATTAAAACACTAAATATTTCAAAATGATAGGAATAGGTGTCAGAATGTAATAGGTAAAAAAAAATATCTTATTTTAAAAAAATAATGCAATGAAATGTTACTAATAAATTTATATACATTCTTATTATTTTTCATCATTTCATCAAAATCACTGTATAGTCTTTTCTGGTAAATCTCCTGTATAATAAAGCTCCTGAAGTTTTTGGAAGCCCAATGCATTATTTCTTATGTGTAAAATTTTGTGAATTGTGTTTCAGGATATTATTTTTGTGCAATACATGAAAAAGTGAGACGATTTAGTGATTCAGTTTATGTGACAAGTGTTGCTAATGATTTCTTAGCTTGCTATATTACACTTGGAAATGGGAATGGCAAGATATTATAAGAAACCTGTGACTCCTGCAGGGTTATAAATGCCAATACTTTTAATAATTTCCTTAGAGTTGTCAATTAAGAAGACAAAAACACCCCCACCCACCCTCTGTGAAATATGAATAGCCTTAGAAAGACAGCCAGATATGAACGCCTAGCATGTAATTAGCATTGTTATTATTAATCAAGTCATTTTTCATCTATGATAAGTAACTAAGTATCTAAACCAAATTTAAATGTGTAAGTAAGTGTACATTAGAATAAAAGTTTTAAAAATCAATCTTTTTTTTTTCTCCTCATTCTTTACAGCATTCACTACTTTGGATTGGGTTATTTTTATAGAATCTTTTTCAATAATTCTAAATCTACTTAATTTTGTCATCTCTTCAAAACAAAATTTTAAATTAAAAAGAAATACTTCAGTTCACTCTCTTTTTTTTTTTAAATGTATTGTTTCAATATAGATATATGTCAAGACTGCTTGTAAAATTTAGACAAAAAACAGTTAAATGATGCACAGTAGTAATGCAAAAGCTTGGTGTGGACAAGCTGAGAAAACATACGTTCAACAGGTAATCGTTCTGAATGACGGATTTGCGTCGCTGGCGGCCCGTGTCTGAAGTCTGAAAATTGTGCATGCAGTAGAGAAATAACCAATGAAGAAAAGTCAATCATGAGAAAAGAAAAGTTCAAAGTTCAGTATCATTTATCTTTAAAACTAAAATGTTTGGCATAGCAAGAAAAATGCAGGAATAAAGAGCAAGCAATGTTATAAGTGAGGTCTTAGTTCTCAAAGTACAAAAAGTCTGTAATATATGTTTTAAATACAGTGTGAGAAATTAAATGAGAATCTACATGAAATACTTCACTATGATTATTAGAGTACATTGTGATAATACCATTAATTCATATCATTATGCACTTAACTTAGTAGTACATCTAAACAATTTTAGGACCAATACGAGTTATTTTTATGATTTTTTGATAATACCATTAATTCATATCATTATGCACTTAACTTAGTAGTACATCTAAACAATTTTAGGACCAATACGAGTTATTTTTATGATTTTCTTTAAAAACTAATGTATACAGTTATACTGTACATGTATTGGGGTAATTAAACTTTACAATATGATAAATGGTAACAATTTTAATATTCTTTTGTCACAATCTACTGCCATGTTTAACTAACCTAATATATTCTAAATATGCAAATCAAGATGTCTTTGAGATTTACTGTTTGCCGTGGTAGTAACTATCAATAAACCCTGACTTCAAAAAAGATTAATCATGCAAAGATAAAAATGTTCAATAATTAACAAAAAAAATATCAATATTTTTACATGATTGTATTTTTCATGTCTATTTAATATGTCTGAATAAAAGAATATGGACAAACAATTAATTTAAGATTATTGTTATAAATTTAGTTTATATTGACCAGAAAATAAATCTTAACATGGTACACATTTTTTAAAATTCTAAATTATTCATCCTTTCAATTATCAGTGTGTTGCATAGTACTGGTATTTTGATTTAATCACCAAAATAAATAATCATGATAATAATGGTTTAAATTATTTGGGAACAGAATGAGTTAAATCTATGATTATGATAACTGTGCATAATTGAAAGGTTGACACTCGCCAAATTCAGAAATTATGTGAATGATACGGTACTGACCACAGCTTGAAATAATTTTAAAAATCTCAGAATATGTTTACAAGCTAAAAAAGATATAATTTTTTTCTCTCTCTCTCTCCAAATGATCATCATCTAAAAGGAAGTTACCTGTTGTTCTTTCAAGTTTCTATTTCCTGAAAACTGCACTTCATTCCAGACAACCTCCACCCCTTCTTCAGTGTCCATGGCCAGGAACGCATTATCAATACCAGGCACATCTCGCTGCTCTACCTACAAAATATGACGTAATAATAATAAACAAGCGTTGAGTAGAGCAGACAACATTACAAAGCCTGCACACCTTTTCCTTTTTTTTTTTAAAAAACATATATAAAAAGGTACATACATATTCATAGTGAGCCCAGCAAGCGGCTAAAAGCACAGCTCATCACTGTCAGCTCTTAAAGCAATGCCTGGGCGAAGTAAAAAATTGGACTTTGCATATTGTTCAAAATAATTTTTTTTACTGTTTTACCTGTAGTGTCGGAATGCTTTACAAATTGCATCTTGCTGCAATCTACGTTCTCCTGGTAGCAACAAATTAAAGTTTTTTAAAAAAATAAAATCACATTGATTTGGTGGATATTGCAGAAAAACAAAAGATTAAATGTTCTTCATGAAAATAAGAATAGTTCATGCCTTGGTTTGTTAATGTGACACAAGTATTGCAAAATGTATCGCATCGTAGAAGGTAATCCAAGATTCCTCTGACTCTAGCCCCTGCTTTTATATTGTGACTTGTGCAGGGGAGAATCAGAGTGTTTACTGATTTCTCACGTCTCGGGAAAAAAAGGAAAAGGTAGGAGAGTTGCAACACCAGTTGGTGTCTACTTTTCAATATGGCCTTTTTCTCCCCTGTACAAGTCAATATAAAAGCACAGGGTTAGAGTCAAAGGAATCTCAAATTACCTGTCATGTGCAGTTTGAAGAGAAAACTGAACAGGTATCTCAGCTCACCCTAACAGTTGCACTGACAACATATTAAACCAAGACTCAAAATGGCCAAATACCTGAGATTGAGAGCATAGCAAGGTTGTTCTGATAGACATGCTTTTAAAAAGAACAAAGATATACTGATATATCTTTTTTTTCTCTGCTTTAACAGTTAAACAATTAGATAATGCAATGCTTGAAGGACAATAATGAATATACACAACCTCATTTTCTCCGACTCAGATCTTGCCCAAAGATATCTATAAGTATAATCCGAGATTCCTCTGACTCTTACCCCTGCTTTTATATTGTGACTTGTGCAGGGGAGAGTCAGAGTGTTATTGAAAACTGGGAATTCGAAACCACCTGGTATCGCTACTCTGCCTACCTTTTACAACTTTATTTCGCGGAGCTAACTCCCGAGACGCGAGAAATCAGTAAAATAATTATTTTCCTACTTGTTAATTGTCATTAAAAGGATGCTTCCACCGTTTAAACAGCCCTATCACCGACAAATGAAGCATCACTTGAACTAGGTCGCCTCCTCGCCATTCGACTGTTTTGCGCATGACGTCAGCACACAAATACACAAAATTCCAGTCAGTTTGAAAGTAAACACGTGCTCAAACCACGTGTGGGGCTTTCGGAAAAATATGAAAGTGTTGTGAAAATACATATAAAATAACATAATGATGTTTTATTTATTGATTGATAAGGAAAGCAACTGTCAAAAACGACTTTTATCCTAATATGAGGTTTAAAACACCAAACATGATATTTTCACGTGATAGTTTGTTTGTGTATTTGTGTGTGACGTCATGCGCAAAGAAGTCGAATGTCGATCAAATGCTTCATTTTTCGTGCAGTTTTAAGGCGAGAAATACTGAACAGCGTATCTCACGCTCACCCTAACAGTGTGAACACTGACAACATATTTTCTCTGTGCAACATTCCAAGAATTCCTGCAACCCAATGTCCTTTGCCAAATATTGCCGAATAAATAAATAAATAATAACGTAATGCATATATCAGGCTTTCAGTTTGTAGAAATCTTTCAGACAAGAAATAACTCTGCAATGTTTTTCAACAAAAATTGCACTAGTTCATAGTTTCAGATATACTGATATATCGTACGACGTCACAGCTAGTTTTCTCTGCGGCTTTAACAGTTAAACAATTAACGGTCACACCGTAAAACATATTATTTATGACGATTAACAAGTAGGTGAAGGGTGCGTCGATTTACCCAAAAGGACCCAAAAGGAACCCAAAAGGACCCAAAAGGACATAAAAGGACCCAGAAGGAACCCAAAAGGAAATCAAAAGGACTAAAATTAATATATTATAATACATTGAAAATTAATAATTTGAAGTAAATTATTAATATTGTATTATAAATCTACCTAAAAGTTGGCAAAAACATACATTTATATTGTTGCAACTTTTCTTAAAGAAATAACATACGACTTTTATAACACATCAAACACTAAATCTGGTCAGATATGCTTTGATTTCTTTTAGCTGAAATTAACAAAGTACACTGTATTATTCTATTTCTCCTTTGTTTTACCATATCTTACTATATGATATTTGATAAATAAATAAATAAGTTTATTTAATGACATGTTCTAGGCATATGGTATCGGGGATGGGTGGGGGTCGGGGATGGGGGGGGGACCTCCCACCTCAAACCAAACACGCACTTTACCCTCAAAAAACTAGTTTTAGTTTTAATAAAATATGAAAGTATTCATTATATATCCATTTATTCTCTTTATTTCAAGTCCTTTTGGGTCGTTCTTAATTTCCTTTTGGGTCCTTTTGGGTTCCTTTTGGGTCCTTTTGGGTTCTTTTGGGTCCTTTTGGGTAAATCGACGCACCGGTAGGTGAATAATTGTTTTACTGATTGCTCGCGTCTCGGGAGTTAGCTCCGCGAAATAAAGTAAAATAATTATTTTCCTGGTTGTTAATTGTCATTAAAAGGATGCTTCCACCGTTCAACAGCCCTATCACCGACAAATGAAGCATCACTTGAACTCTCCCGCAAGGACTTTCCTCTAAAACTTCACTCTCGTCTTCAGATTCGCTGTCAGCTTTACTTTTACTGCCTTTTGCGCCATTACTATAAGCACACAAAAATACACAAAATTCCAGTCAGTTTGAAAGTAAACACGTGCTCAAACCATGTGTGGGGCTTTCGGAAAAATATGAAAGTGTTGTGAAAATACATATAAAATAACATAATGATGTTTTATTTATTGATTGATAAGGAAAGCAACTGTCAAAAACGACTTTTATCCTAATATGAGGTTTAAAACACCAAACATGATATTTTCACATGATAGTTTGTTTGTGTATTTGTGTGTGACGTCATGCGCAAAGAAGTCGAATGTCGAGGAGGCGACCAAATTCAAGTGATGCTTCATTTTTAGGTGATAGGGTCGTTTAAACGGCGAAGGCATAATATTTATGACGATTAACAAGTAGGTGAATAATTGTTTTACTGATTGCTTTACACCATTTCTTTTTTCAGTTAGCTCCGCGAAATAAAGTTGTAAAAGGTAGGCAGAGTAGTCAATAAATTACCAGGTTATGGTATATATCATAACCAGATATACTCTCTAAGTGCCGTTTTAACCAAGTTTTCAATATGGAACCAAGTGCCGTTTTGCATATCTCCCAGGTGCCTTGCACAAGTCACAATATAAAAGCGGGGGTTAGAGTCAGAGGAATCTCGGATTACTATAAGTATAAACTTTTCTCACCTCTTCCCGTCTCTTCTGCCATCTCCCGCAAGGACTTTCCTCTAAAACTTCACTCTCGTCTTCAGATTCGCTGTCAGCTTTACTTTTACTGCCTTCGTCTGTTTCTGCCATTACTATAATGCGTTAAACATAAAAATATGTAAAGTATGTGATAATGTCTTCCTTTCCAAGTTAACCGGATGTGAGCTTGAGAACTATTCCGCAGCAAATACAAGTGGAGACAAGTAACTTGTGCGATGTAATGTTCGTTAATAAGTGGAAGCCCCTAACCTAAAATATGTGGAAAATATAACACAAAAATCTAGGTATGCATATGGTAGACATTAGTTTCTAATAGTGAAAACCCACGAACCATTAATATATAAAAATATTATAATGTATATTATTGGTACGATTTACTCATATAGTAGTGCACTTGATTCACCTTATCAAGCCCACGCCTACTCCAATAAACACTTAGTGGTGTTCCGTAAATCTCCGACGAGCAGAGCTTTGATTCTGAAATACTTGACTTTCTTCATTTTTTTCATCGAAAATACAACTTCTACAGTTTTAAAAAACCAAGAAACATGTTATAAAAAACTTGATTTATTGAATTTATCAGTGAAAATCAGATAAATAAAATGCTTCAATAATTTATGAAATGTTACTTGATACCATGGACTAAGCCCTCAGGAAAACAACGCTTGGAACTCCAAAGGCCCATGTAGAGTTGTCGTTCGTTGTTGGATGGGCCACTGTCTTGTTTCTTCGTCATGCTAATCAAGTACGCTATTTATTTTTTTCTAAAACCTTAAAATTAAAAAAAAAATCAGTAAAATGTAATATCTATGATGGAGAAAAAAAATATGAACAACATTAATATTCACACGACTTTGTGAAAATATTTTTCTTAACGTTGTTGTTTATTTAATATGCTGAAATCACGTGGTCTGTTCTGCACGCCGCGAAAATGTGTACACATGCATGATGATTAAGATGCATTTGTTTTCCGTGCTTTGTTAATTATTTGAATATGTTTACGAAATGATATATCAGATATATTATAGGATAACTGACACGAGGAGATTGTAGAGGATGGGAGCTTATCTGTCTACTCCAAATACTGAAAAAATATCCATTGACAAAGTCTCCAAAAGGTTTTGCTATGGAGCTTCCTCTATGCAAGGTTGGAGGGTTTCACAAGAGGTTAGCTAACTGTGTATTCATTTGAATGTATGAAAATATGATTATTTTATCTAAAGTGACTGTTTTGCAACTATTTGAAGTGGTAAAATGAGAATAAGCTTATTATTTTGGGATTTGAGGGATTTTTTAAACTAAACTTTGTTTATGTTTCTCATTGCTATAAAGAACCTATGGTTTTGTATTTAAGGATTCACATAACTGCATTGATGACTTAGATGAAGATACTGCTCTCTTTGCTGTATATGATGGACATGGAGGTAAGCTAAATTTCTATAATCATGACTTCCTTTGATTTACAGTCACTTCGTACACAAACCGAGTCGTACACAAACCCACTTGTATACAAAAAGTCAACTCGTATACAAAAAAAAGTCAACTCGTACACAAACCAGAAGTCAACTCGTACACAACTCATACATAGGTTTTCCTATGTGATTTAAGGTAATATTTGCCACAGTTTCCAAAAAATTGAGAAGTCAACTCGTACACATTTTTAACTAGTTTATGCCTATGATTTTCAATATACCATATGCGCGATGCGATGCGCAGATTGATTTGTTGACAAGATTTTCCGTGCCAAAGATATAAATTTCTGTTATGCAAGTAATGCATGTTGACGTTGAATATAATATTTTATAGCATCCTAATTTATGTTAAATAGATATACAGTGTAGATAGTAAATGCGATCAAAATGCAATCTAAATACATGGTAAGAATTTAATGGTATACTGTATAACACATTTTTCTTACACTTATCTAAACTTATTTAGATAAAGTTAGTTTTAGAAACTTACCGTCTTGCTGCAGGAAAGACAACTCTCTCGAACCATGGTGAAGTATAAGGAATGAAGAAACTTGGAGACGTTTTCTATACATATAGTATCTCATAATTAAAGGATACCGAATTATGAGCATCTGGTAATTAGCGTTTGTCGCAGATCCAAGAAACCACCGCGCGTGTGTTAACAAAACTTCTTTGATGTTCCTATCAGCATGATCAGGGAATTAAGTTAAATTATTTAAATATTTAGGGGGAAAACTTAGATAAATGTAACACTTCCTGTTATCAAACACTATTTGTATAAGATTAAATCATAACGATTGTATATAAAAGTTGTGTACGAGTTGACTTCTGGTTTTTGTGTAAGAGTTGACTTTTTGTATACGAGTTGGTTTGTGTACGACTCGGCAGTGGCGTAGCTAGCAAAATATCTTCTGTATTCAAAAAGGCAAGGGGTCTGGGGGCCGCCTTGTGGCCTCCAGCGGGTCCAGGGCAGGACCCTGGTGGGGGCCCAGGGGGCGAAGCCCCCGGAAGCTCATGGATTTTCAAGGTTTTATACATCAGAAAATTACCTAAAAAGTTTAATTTTTACAATCATAGTTTTACCAAATATTAACAAAAATTGCCGAGTTTTGACGATACACTTACAATCCCAAAATTCTATTTTTTAAAAGCATTTCGTGTAATCCTGAAATAAGGCAAAACATTTTCAACAGTGGAAATCTTGCAATATGTGTTGAGTTCCGAAATCACAACTGAACCTTGAATTTATGAGGATGATATACCGGTAATTGATATTTTCAGAATTTTTTCCCGATGCAGTGTGAAAATAACAATCAAAATGAACAGTACCACATGAAAAAAACATCTCTGCCTTAATTTGATCAATTGAATGATGATTTTCATACTCAAACACTGTATATACTATATACTCACATTATGTATCATAATAAGTGCCACGGTTTAGTTATTTTTCAAACATTTTTTCCTTATTGTAGCAACTTTATAATTACATTACCGCAAAACTGTTTTGAAATTTTCTGACGAAAGAGAATTTATTATGAAAGGCAGGAAAACCTTGGAGAAATTTATTGGCAGAAAATTCAATGTTCTATATAGTAGTTGCTATAAAATTCATTTTACAAGTTAAGACTTTTTAAAAATCATATTTACTATGAATTATATATATTTAAATTCTATAAACCGCTTTATCCACACACCAAAAATATTCTCCATTTGTTACATGTTAAAAATTTAATTGTTTTTAAATAATAGTACAAGTTTGCAGTTACTTATTAAGGGAATAGGTGAATAAAACGGATTAAATTAATTGACTTATTTGCTTTTACTTTGAAATGACACAACTTTACAATTCGCCCTTGAAATTCTAAAATGATTTTTTAAAACGATATGTACTCTGTTTCAAAGATAGAAGCATAATATTTTACCGGTATTTTATCATATTTAGCACGTAGAGGTAAATAGATCTAAGTTACTTTAAAATAACCTATTTTAACTCAGTCTTGTATTGTACTTCTGATTTGTTTTTCTTTCTTTTTTATCATTATTTCTTGTTAATTTTTTTGTTTGTGAAAAATCTGTGTATTCATTTGCGTTTTTGCGTAAAGGGCGCTACGCCACTGCTCGGTCTGTGTACGTAGTGACTGGACACCCTTCCTTTTGGTGTTGGTAATTTATGTTATCCACCATTGACATCTCGGTCCAATGACACCTCGGCCCAAACAGGTCGGCTCAAGATTGAAGACAGGTCGGCCCATATATAAGACACCTTGGCCCAAAACAAAATTTCATTGAGAAATATATCACGTTTCCGATTTCAGACTTTGCGAAATTTAAAATAAAATATTTATCAAAAAATCTATAAAAAAAAAAATCAATTTTTTTTCTTAATAATAGAGACAGCCCCGACCATTTTATTTTAATCAAGGAATGAGAAAACATACATGTGATTAAGGTGCTTAATTGATAAGTTAATTGCTAAACAAACAAAAAGCCGCGGCACGTTCTTTGGAGTGTGGTCAAGTTCGTGTCATACTGGTGACGATGGGGGGTTAATTACGAGCAGACTCCATTGAATATTAATTGTCTACAACATTTCTTATAAAAACATTCATGAAAGTTAATTAGTAGTTGAAACCATTTTGTACATTAAAAAACTTTAAATTCATATTAGATTTATTTTGTTTAATTATCGAGCTCCCCGCATTTACATTGTGCATTTCCACAGGAAAAAGATGCAAGAAATGATATGAAACCCTCACCCCTTCCCGATTTGATTTTTAGATAGGAAAAAAAGTATCGTGAGAAAGAATAATTAACTATTTAATTAATCATGTAAATTATTTTTTCTATAACAAAAATTTGCTTGGGCCGAGGTGTCTTTTATATGGGACGACGTTTCAATAATTTTGGTCCGACCTGTCAGGGCCTAGCAGGGCTCGACAAATTGTCCGCTACCAGTGAATATTGCTGGGCACTTGTCCGATTGGACAAGTGATTTTTTTATGTAAAGAAGTCTTCAAATAATAATAATTTAAAAAAAAAATAACTTGTGAATTAAGTTTATGGAATAAAAACGGAAACAGTACGTAAACCCGAATTTCGATCCTGATATCAATCGCTATGTAAAATCACACTTGATCGGGATCGATGTTCACTAATTGCAGCCATACTATTGCATGGCGTGGATCTTACGACGTTTGCGGGTTTGGAATATATTTGATTGATATTACAGATTCAGTTGCGAACATTTATGTTGTTGTCAGGACAGGAAATCTAGATAAAATTTTGTTTTATAAGTGTTTGTCTTATTTATCAATAAAAACACTAATAAATAAAGCATGTTTAATTTTTTAATTTAAGGCCAGCATTTTTTTATTTTTAGGTTTACAAACCCGCCGCTCAAGTTTTTGAATTTTCAGAAAAAAAATAAAATTGAGAAAAACAGAATTTTTTCTTTCCGATGTCAAATTTGAGTCGGGATCGAGATTTCAAATTTACGAACTCGTACTTCCGGTTTTAAATGAACATGGCGGGTAATGAAGGGAGATTTGTGTCAAGTCCATAGCAGCACTAAAGCTTGGTTTAATGTAAATATTTATCGATAGGAGTGCCATTCAAAACGTTTCACCCGTTCAGAGAACAATAAAATGCTGACGACTTTGTTACAAAGTGACATGTTGGTGAGATAATTATGTATCCGTATTCAAAAGTAACTGTCTATAATTGTAAATTATTTTCCTCCCACAGGTTTAAAACTGCCCATGGTAGCTATTGTCAGAGACATTGTTTAGGTTTCTGTCATAGCTTACAGTCCTAGCATCATTCTTCAGAAAAGGGTCGCTTATGCATCAGATGTAATGAATAAAACTATGGGAGAAGTTAAGTCCATTTGAGGAAGAAATAAAAAATAGCCTAAAGAAATAAAATATTTCAACTATTTAAAAACAAGAATATACAAATATATACAGGCATGTAGTATCGTTTATGGCAGCCAAAAAAATTATTTTACACTTAATTGAAAAAAATTCCACCCTACTCCTCAATACTCCTTGGGAATACTCCCTGTCTGTTTTATGAAAGGAATTATTACTTTTATAGGTCTCAAGTATATTAATATTTTAGAATAATTTCTACCTAACACACATTAAAAACAAAAATGAAGATATATTAAAAGAGATTTAAAAAATTGATTTTTTTTTTTTAAAAATCTGTATTTTGTCCAACATCAAAAGATTTATATCACTGCCCCCAACTGGTAGATGATGAAATAAACAATTAAAGGTTGTATTTTCCCCTTTGTAACCATTATGTGTCCAGTGGCAAGAAGCTTGTTAGGAGAGCATAAAAAAAGAAGCAAAAATTAAATGTAGAAAAGTCGATAATGTATCCAAAATATAATTTTATTATTTTTTTTTTTATTTCCTCCTCCTACGGGACTTTTTCATTCTGATGTTCGTAAACCTAAAAATAAAAAAAATGCTGGCCTAAGTAATTGTTTTCAAGATATCCATTGAAAAATTTTTGGACAAGTGAAGTTAAAGTTCGGACAAGAAAATATCTTGGTCACTTGTCCGAATGGACAAGTAGGAAAAAAAGTAAATGTCGAGCCCTGCCAAGGTGTCAACCGTCACGGGCCGAGGTGTCGTTGGGCCGAGATGTCTGACTACCGTCCACCTAAACACTATACTAGAGAAGTTACTAGGTATTTATGGAATTGATATCTTTTTATATTCATTTAAACAGGGTCTGAGGTTGCCCAGTATGCTTCACTGCATTTTCCGGATTACATCAAGCAACATCCCCTTTTCAAAGAAGGCAAACTGAAGGAGGCGCTAGAAAATGCATTTCTTGAATTTGACCAGAAATTGCTGGAGAAGGAGGCATGTGATGAAATGAGAGTTTTGGCCGGAATAGATGAAGAGAGGGATGAAGAAGGTGAAACTTCCAATACTTTAAAACAGTGTAGGTTAAAATCTATCACTGTTGTGTTGTTATCCCTCTAAAAGTTTAATGCTTTATTGAAAGCTTCAGTTAGACATATAGTAACAATAGTTAATGTGAGCTCACCAATCTTTTAAAAAAATTAGCCATCCTTTCTTTAAGAATTGAAGTAGCTCACTCTTTGACATTCAAAGGCATACTTTTAATACAACAGAGTTGATGAGAGTTGTTAGTGTAACTGGAAATCAGAAAATTGGAATGGACCAGACTGAGTTTTGAAAACAGTCCATTTAATCTGCAGTCAGGTGCTCAACCAACTGATCTATCTGGTCACCTGCAATCCAACCTGTGTTAAGCCACATTCCTCCCACATTAAAAGTCTTTGCTATATTGTGGCACTAAATGTAACTGGAAAAGAAAAAAAAATATATGGCTGGACTGGGAATCAAACCTGGTCTACTTCTGACAATGAAAATTTGTCCCTCTCTGATAACATTTGGTACTTTGCCATGCTGTGGAAGAGACAGATGTAAGTCTAAGACCTACCAGAAAAGGAGCTGGGTTGGTGATTTCAAGAGCAATGAACTTCAAGGAGGGAGATATCTTGTGATCAGACTGGTTTGATAGCCATTTAATACAGAGCTCAGTTGGTAGAGCACTGACTATAGATTTAGGGACCTCATCCATTTCTGAATTTTCAGTCTTGTACATGGGATTTTTCTACTTCCTGGTTACAGTAACAATGAACATGTATTCACCATCTTGTAAGTGGTATAATTTGTCACACAAGATACGAAAGTAATGAAACTAAGATCTTAATTTCACCTATCCTTTGAGAAATTTTTGAAGCAAATTAGAGGTTTTCCAAAAAAAAAAAAAAGAAATAATGATAACTAAAACAGCAAGAAATGACCCACAATTCAAACTTTTAATTTGGCATATCAGTCTAATATTCAATTTGGCACAAGATTTCACATATTGATATTTTGCAGTCTATCTAAATTAAAAAAATAAAGGGTGCAAAAGATAACTTTTAGACTGATTACTGTAAGTGCAAGATGTAGAAGACCAAATAAGTTGCAGATTAAAACAAAAAACTATGCTATGAGGTACAAATTCATTAAAAGACATTACTTAGTTTTTACAAATTATTCAATTTGTACATTTTCATTATTTTCTTCTAAAAAGCCAAAAGGAAAATGAAAATAGAAGCAGACATTTTGAGAACAGAGGCTGACATGCCCTTAGAAGATTTATTGGCCAAGTATGAAGGATGCCCACAGCCCAGATTATTAAAGAGAAATCGTGGAAGTGGAAAAGTAAATTCTCCCATGTTAAAAGGGAAGAAGGAGTCTAAGTTTACAGCAATGTGTGCAGTGGAAATAGAAGAGGCAGCAGGCGGCTCCGCTGAGTCAGAAACCTCCTGGACACGAGATAAGCTGGCTAATGGACACGCCGAGAATGAAAACAATTTAAACAGGGAGAAAGAGCAAAATGAAAGTAATCAAATGTTGAATGATCAAAATGAATGTGAAAGTGAGGACCTCAAATCCGATGTTAAATGCCCAATGGATAGTGCTGTAGGTTCCTCTTCATCTAGTTCTCAGCCGTGTGTATCTTCTAGTTCAGATGGACCCTCTAAGTCTGAGGAATCAGCAGGGTCCATATCGGACAGTGGTGACGTTAAACAAGAATCTTCAGTGGTAGACAATGTATCATCATCCTCATC